TATCTCCATAATGGCGTTGGTGGAGGCCATTTTGGAGTAAACAAAACTCTTGAAAAGATCAAAGAAAGATTCTACTGGGATGGATGCCGAACCGATATGGAGAATTGGTGCGGTGCATGTACGGAATGTGCTGCCAGTAAAGGACCTCGCAGCCGGAGTAGAGGACCAATGAGACAGTATCTAGTTGGGTCGCCATTTGAGAGAATTGCCATAGACATAGCAGGGCCATTTCCAATTTCAAAACTCCTGGGAGGACCCTATACGATAATCACCAGACACAACGATGTCACATATCGGATCCAGAAGAGCACTCAGGCAAAATTTAAAGTTGTCCACATTCACCGTTCGGCCAGATATAACGATGATCCAGGAGTTACCTAATCGGGGCGATCAGGGTTTAGAAGGGGGCAGTGTAACGGAAATGGCGTGGGGTATTCACGTTTAGAATAGGGGGACTGAAATTAATGGTATTTCAGTAAATGCGAGCCCCATTTGCGCCCTGAGCTGAAGATTTCGAGAACCGTCTGAATTACCTGGTTAAAACGATATAAGCGGCGACGAGAAGCATGGGGAGTCAGTCAAGTGACAGCAGCGACCGAGTTCAGAAGAGGTTAAACCCCGCGAGTCGGAAGAGCTAGTTTTCCGTCTGTTATTGTTATTGTTTGTGAAGTTGACGGTAATTTTGAAGTCAGTTGGTTCCTGTTTTGCACTTAAAGTTATACCGAGGTGAATAAAAGTTGGAAGCTAAAGAAAGAGTTTGATACCCGACCATCCACGGTACAATACGTACTTTACTTATAACAAATAGACAATGGACAGTTGCGGTCTCAATATCTAACAAAAATAAAAATAATAATAAAATAAGATGTTCTTGCTGTAAGTATACTTTTGTTAAAGATTTTACTGAATTGCGGTTGTTGTAGTTAGGTACTCCAGTTTTGTTTCATATGTAGGTATGTCCATTATGTTTGGTATCCTTTATAGAAAATAAAAATTAAAGTAAATATTTGATTTAATGCTTTAGCCGACTTAACGAGTAACATTTGTTCAAACATATTGCAACCATAAAGAAAATTGAGCTTTAATCATCAATAAAATTAAATACTGACAAACTACAAAATATTTTCACTGATGGTTGAAAATGTAAATAAACCTGTTCAAAATTGTGCAATAATTTTCGTTATAGGTTATATTTATTCGTTATAGGTTATAGGTTATAGGTATTAATGTTAAGGCAACTTAACGGATTATTTTTACAAAAAAAACACAAATGAAAGTGTGCAACTAAAAAAGTTATAAACACTTCCAATCCAGCTGAAATTTACTACATTCGAAATTAAAAATTGCAATTGTTCCGGCAAATTAACACTTTCATCACAAATAAAGCGGAACTTGAAAATGGGCCATGCATTTCAAACTTTGCTACATTTGCGTTTGCAGGTATTGTAATTATCCGGAAAAAATTCTATATTAACTAATTTCCGTATTAACTATTTTTGTTTTATTTTGTTTATTAAATCTATTATGGTGACAATCTTAATAGAAATTTAACTTCACATGTTATTTGCCTAAAATGTGCCAGAGTATAAAATTAACTCATCAGAAATGCGATTGACCGTGCTATATTATTTATCAAAGGATCTCAGTTATGAAAGTGGTCCCCGAAAACAGCATTTTTAATTGAAGTGTCTCTACATTTAACAATAATTTCTAATCTTACTTTAATACTTCACAAAGAATTTATTTTTGACCAATGGGTAAAACACCCTGGCAAACTATTTCCACTTAGTGAGCAAACAAAACAGACATATTTTCCGACAAAAATGAAATTATGTGTGGAATGTAAAATAAATGAACCAATCAATTAAACTAGAAAACTAATGAAAATGAATGATTAAGTTTGGTCCTATTGCACTTGCAAACGCAAATAATAGATTCCGCTCTAAAGAGCTCTGTAGATTAAATGAAACTCCTTAGCACTCGTTGTTACTTCCAAGATAAACAGCATTACAAATTTGTCTAACAAATAATAGAACCGTTAGTTTAGACGAATGTAGGCCAAAGAACAGTAGAGAAACAACGAAATTAAATTAGGTATCTTAAGTAAAGAAGTCAAACATTTAGAAGCTGGGTTTACAAAATTTTTATGGCATCGTAAATACAAGGGTTTATGTATTACTAAATTTGAGAATTATATATTTTTTGGGAGTTGTCTAACTGGGAGACAAAACGCTGGCATAAACTAATGCTAAAACAGATATGAAATGAAACAATAGGGAAGGAAATACACACTGGAAAACCTTAGAAATTTGAATTGCTTCAGCCTGATATCAAGTTTGGAAACCGAAGCTGCTTTTTCGAGATGTACATATTAGAAATTATACCAACGATACAAGGGTATGACGAATCAAATTGCGTTAGCTGAAAACAATTAGCATCGTCTGTTCATTTCACTAAATTTGCTAACATTAAGAGAACATTTTAAATTAAAGTTTGTGTGGAAACCATTCCTACTTACAACATAACTTTAACCTAAATAGTTCGATGGATGAAATGTTCAAACCAATGAATTTAATGTGCTAATTTACAAGTAAAGTTTAATGTAAAATTTCAAGTAATTAATTGGCGTCGAGTTTTTTCAAAATGTAGTATATTATAATTGCAACATGGGAGCATATGCATCTTGTAGAGATAACCACAGTTTGCATTTGCAAAATTTCGGTAACGTAAGTTGAATTTGAAATTTAAAATGCAAAAATAATAAAAATCAAATTAGTCTTAGGTTAATATACCTTAAAACAATCGTACAACAAAATTATAAAAATTCAACTAAAATACAGCTGTTGATTGAAAACCATAAAAATATATTGCTTTTATAATTTAAGGTGATTAAATTAATAGTGACTACTAATTTTACATAAAATTAATGAATTGGTCGACTCTATTCTCGTCTTCTTTCTCGTTTTCTATAAAATATTTTAGTTTGCTCAAAGTTTTCCATAATTTACTATGATATGAAGCCCCTGATTGCATTTATTTCGGACAGAAAACCCTACCTACTGCTGCCGCCGCAGTAATACATAACAAAACAAGCAATATCCGGGAAAATTGTTTAATTTCTAAGTTTTCTTTCTTTAAGTGTTGACTGAGATTTATGTTTTTTAACTACTGTTAAACAATATTGAGTTTGTCATTTGTCTCGCATGTTTAATTATACTTTCTAGTGGCTTACTTTCGCGCGGGTTTCTATTTTTATTTTATATTAATAATGAATAGTAGTTTTCGAACAATATTTTTTATTGGAATAAAGGACATAACACGAATAATAAGTTATAATAAATAAAAATAGCCAAATAATAAAAGCCGTCAACTTCATATTTAAATATGTTGTAGTTGATTAGTGACCGTGATGATAATGAGTAATTGATGATGAGAATAAGATGGCAGTCTAGTAATACACCTGCCTTGAGAAGCATGTTACGCTTGAGTAAATATGGCACTGACTTGGTAGAGCCCTGAGGATGACTTGAATAAAGTCGAAACGTTGGCCCATGAAAAAGTAGTGTTTTATTTTGCCACCATCCGCTGACCGAAAATCCCACTATTGAAAAATTAATTACTTCATATTTAAAATTTGATGTCAATGCCATTTTTGAAATTGTCATGTTTTGACGTTTCTAATTTTTCAAAATCTTACTTTTGTAAGCATCTGCAAGTGAAACAATGAGCGTTGAATCCTAGTGCTTTCACGGTATGGTGTTTGTATAAGATGCATATTTTGCATAAAATTTGCGATCTTTAAAAAAGTAGTGTTTTGCTTGTGGCAACATCGGCGAGTGCAAAAAATAGATCAATTGAACGACTTGGAGCCTGAACTTTGAAACAAAGTTATAATTTACAAATTGTAAGTATACTGTAAATTATAACCAATAGTTGTCGATAATCCTGCGCAATTCATTATCGCATAAAAAAATCCTGTCGTTTACTTTTTAATGAAAATACTTCAAAATGTTTTATGACAGTGGCACGTCCAATTTGTCAGATTTAATTTTGCGCACATGTGTGTGAAAAATGCCACTTTTAGATTTATTCGAATAAAAAGAAATGGATATACAAGTCTGAAACCACACTATTTCCAATTTAGACCAATGAAGATGGATATAGATATATTCGAAACATTGGCACAAATAAATTAATATTGCTTTTTTGTCGCTGTTTTTACCAATACCAAGAACATTTTTTACCAATATCGAGAAAGTAATCATTTGTAACTATTTTGTCGCATTATGTCGGCAACGTCATTTACCTTTAAGTTTCTTGATTAAATTCCTCATTAGATTAACATGGCTGTGGATGATAATATAATTTAAATTCATTGTTGAAGCTACAGTTTAGCAGTTTAGCAGCTATTATGAGTAATAAATTTGTGTAAAGTAATTTACTGAATCGATCCAAAAGTGTATTACTACAACCGAAATCGCATAATCTTTCACCCATACTACCTTTTGTAGAAATGTATTGTGTTCGCTCTGAGAAACATATTGTACCGTGAATGACCGGGTATCAAACTCTTTCTTCAGCTTTCAACTTTTATTCACCTCGGTATCACTTTAAATGCGGAACAGGAACAAACTAATTTCTAAATTAACGTCAACTTCACAAACAATAACAATAACAAACGGAAAACTTGGACTTCCGACTCCCGGGATTTAACATCTTCTGAACTCGGTCGCTGCTGTCACTTCACTCACTCTCTGTGGTTCTCGTCGCAGCTTATATAGTTTCCTCCAGGTAACTCAAACCGTTCTCGAAATCTCCAGCCCAGGTGCGAAATTTCCCGCTTGTCAGTGTCATATTTGACAGTAAATGGGGCGCATAGGGGGCTCCCATTTACTAAAATGCCATGAATTTCGATCTCCCCATTCTAAACGTGAGTACTCCAGGCCATTTCCGTTACACTGCCCCCTTTCTAAACCCTGATCACCCCGATTAGGTAACTCCTGGATCATCGTTATATCTGGCCAAACGGTGAATGTGGACAACTTTAAATTTTGCCTGAGGGCTCTTCTGGATCCGATATGTGATATCGTTGAGTCTAGTGATTATCGTATAGGGTCCCTCCCAGGAGTTTTGAAACTTTGGGCAACGGCCTTTTGTCCGTCGGGGATTGAAAAACCAACTTGTTCACCTTCGCTAAATCCGACTTGATTTGGTCTGGCGTCATATCTGCTCTTCATTCGATCAGATTCGATCTCCAATTTTGTTCTGACCTCATCGTGTACAAGTTTCAGTTGTTCTGCTAGCTTGAGTCCATAATCTTCGCCAATTTGTAAATCTTCCGGTCTTCCAGTGAGTAGATCAATGGGAAGTCGCAATTCTCTGCCAAATAAGATTTCTGCCGGAGATTTACCAGTATTGGATGGATTGCTGAACGATAGGCTAATAAGAATGGAGCAAGTTGCGTATCCCAATTATCCTGCTTATTGTTGGCAACAATTCTCAGATAGTTATCTATGGTTTTGTTAAATCGCTCTACCATGCCATCAGATTCTGGGTGTAAAGGTGTTGTTCTTGTTTTGTGAATTCCCAACAGCTTACATATTTCTTGAAAAACTGAGAATTCAAAATTTCTTCCTTGGTCCGAATGAATCTCTCTAGGACACACCCAGTTTTGGAAGAGCACATTAGCTATGGTGGTGGCTTCTTGATTAGGAATTGGGTATACCGCAGGCCACTTGCTAAAGTAGTCCATCACAACTAAAATTTATTTATTTCCAGATTTAGTTCGTGGAAATGGCCCTGCTATGTCTATGGCAATTCTCTCAAATGGCGACCCAACCAGATACTGTCTCATTGGTCCTCTACTCCGGCTGCGAGGTCCTTTACTGGCAGCACATTCCG